AGGCTGGTATAACACCTTAATATATTTATACCCGTTACTCGTAGAGTAAAAGGGTATACTAGATTCGTTGAAAATGATGTTACAGATAGAAGAAAGCGTTTGCGACCCTATAAAGTATATATATTCTTGATAAGGATCAATAGCGAAGTCGATTGAGCCATGTCCGTTTGACCGTTCGTCCGTCCGACCGTCCGTCCGTATGAACGCTGAGATCTCAGGACCTATAGCAGATACAAAGTTGAAATTAAGCATGAAGATTCTTGAGGTCCCGGGACAGCGCAAGTTTATTACAGCATCCTGCCACGCCCACTCTAACGCCCACAAATCGCAAAAAATTAAAATTGCTGAAATCTCAGGAACTATTGGAGTTAGAAAGTTGAAATTCAGAAAGTATAATCTTTAGATGCCAGCTCATCTTATAGTAGTACTACTATCCGGCCACACCTACCCATACGCCCACAAGGCTCAAAAAACGGTTTTCGGATTTTCTAGAAAAGCTGATATTTCGGTAACTATAAGATACAAAAAATTCGGATTAAGCATGTAGGTTTTTATGATGCTCCCAATGCGAATTGTTTTCTTCCGATCAAGCCACGCACACTCTAACGTCCAAAAAACCCGAAAAGCCAAAAATGCAAAAATCTCAAAAACTATAAGAGCTACAAAATTTTGATTAGGAACACGTATTTAGGAGATGCCTCTGCAACTTGCCACGAAGTTGCATCCGGCCACGCTCACTCTAACGCCCACAAATCGGGGAAAACTGTGGCGTCTATAATATTATTATGAATGCCTTCGTTTGACCTTTTGTAACTTATTTCTATTAATATCTATCGATTTACCAATGATTTTTCAAATCGGAACATTATTTCGCTACATATGAAGAAATTAAGGTTATAAGGCCTCACATGGGCAGTGTCGTCACTATAAGCATACTCAACATACTTCCTCTGACAATAGGTGGCACCTTGTGAATTTCCACTAGCAAAATAATATTTTACAATTTTGTAAAACAGTAACGGGTATCTTATAGTCGCGGCACTCGACTATAGCGTTTCCTCTTGTTTTTATTTATAATTATATTTGCTTTATTCTTTTTATTATTATACCCGTTACTCGCAGAGTAAAAGAGTGCACTAGATTCGTTGGAATGTATGTAAAAGGTAGGAGGATGCGTGTCCGACCCTTTACGGTATGTATATTCTTGATCAGGATCAATAGCGAAGTCGATTGACCCGTGTGCGTCTTTCCGTCCGTCTTTCTGACCGTCGGCCCGTCTGTATGGACGCTGAGATCTCAGGAACTATAAAAGATACAAAGTTGAGATTAAGCTTGAAGATTCTTGTGGTCCCTAGACAAAGCAAGTTTATTTCAGCATCCTTCCACGCCCACTCTAACGCCCACAAATCTCAAAAAATTAAAATCGCTGAAATCTCAGGAACAATTAGAGCTATAAAGTTGAAATTCAGTACGTAAGATCTTTGAATGACAGCCCATCTTATGGTGATACCATTATCGGGCCACATCTACTCTTACGCCATCCAAGCTCGAAAGACGGTTTTCGCATTTTGTAGAAAAGCTGATATCTCGATAACTATAAGTGATAGAAATTTAGGATTAAGCGCGTGGGTCATTATGATGTTTTCCAGCTTGCAGCTTGTTGTGAGTTTTTATCTGGTTAGAGTTAGAGAAAACGCCCACAAACCGCGGAAATCTGTGGCGTCCATAATATTTTAATGAATGTCTTGGTTTGACATTGTATTACATATTTTGGTCAATATCTACGATTTACCAATAATTTTTTAAATCGGAACATTATTTTGCTAGATTGTCAATTATAAGGCCTCACATGGGCGGTGCCGTCTCTATCAGTTACTCAAAATGCTATCTCTGATAATAGGTGGCGCTTTGTGTATTTCCAATAGCAAAATAAAAATTTTTAAATTGTGTAAAGCAGTAAAGGGTATCTTATAGTCGCGGCACCTGACTATACCGTTTCTTCTTGTTTACATTAAACTTCTTGATTGGGATGCTCAGTATCTACCGAATTTTTTTATACGAACGGAAAAAGTTGTTAGATGGCCCAAAACACAAATTTTTGAGAAGGCCAAAAATTTGAAATCTGGCGAGATTTTCGACCTGCTCGATTTGATATAAACGGTCCTGATTCCGGCGGCTAAGGATATCTGATCCTGTCCCATAAACTTTTTCAAAGTTGTCAATTTCAATGATTTTATACAATTTATCCCGATTACGCTCATCGAACAGTGGTCAGCGTGCACGACTTTGTCACCAAGGAGCTGTCATGTTGGCCGCCTTTTATGACTGCCCCGATATTACATAAGTCAATTCTGTATCCAGCTTTATCAATACCTTTAGCATTTCATGTCAGTTTTTAAATATAGCTCTTACTGCCAAAACAGGCCAGCAATCAATATGTGGTTATACTTGGCGTCCAACGTGAAAACGCGTTAGTGAATTCCAAGAAGGAATTCGAGTAAAAACCCCGTTTAAAAACTAAACGCAATCGTCGTGAATAACTCGTAAAAACTTCGATTTAGAGTCAAAAAAATTAATGTGATATATATTTATTTTCTTAGAATGCGCAAAATTGAAACGAAAATAAAACCAGTTCAATTAAAACTGCAAGTAAAACGATTTGAGCACGAAATTTTTGAGTGCCCTGTAAACCTCACACCGCATCCATCATCAGGATGCGCTCCCGCAGGAGAACACTACAAGATTTTTAAAAAATATTTTGTGTTTTCACTTGAGAAAATGTAATTACGGCGATCGTTTTTTATATCTTCTATTTAATCAAAGTCCAAGAAAAAACAATAAAGTAGCTGTTTTCCAAGTTAGGAATATTTTAAACTTACTAAATTAAACGAGCGAATACATAAAAGGAAAGGATACAGTTCTGACAGTAGTGACGGAGAACTTTTAAAAACCTATAGAAATCTTCACAATAACAAACCAACACAAAATAACGAACATAGAACACACAGGTCCAGGCCTTTGAACAAAAATTCTATGAATTAGAGGACAGAAAAGGGTCTATAACTCTAACAAATACAGAAGTCAAGGCCTATGAGGCAATTAGTATCGACGATGGGGTAAAGTGCTAAGAACCTCTAGACGTTTTAAAGTCCCGAATTTGACGGCAATCAGGAAAGCTATGTTTCTTGGAGACAAGAGGGTACGGCTGCCTTCACTGTCAAGCCCTATAACGGCAGCTCTACAAACTATCAGGCGATAGCCATAATCAGAAATAAAGTAAGAGGCAATGCAGATGCAGTTTTAGCCTCCTTTAACATATTTTTTAAATTTTGACGCTATAATAGCACGCCTGAGGACGATGAGGCAGGGGGAACTTTCTCTTAATAGGTTTTACGATGAAATGAAGAAAAAGTTAACGCTTCTCACTGATAAAACTTTAATGTAATACGAGCCTTTTGCTGCTGCAGTGTTGAACGAGATGTTTAGGAGTGATGCTCTCCATACTTTCGTCTCCGGCCTAAGGAAGCCCTTGAGACTCAAAGAAAAAAAAAGTTGCGGATGCTCTTTCCCGTCAAAATTTTAAGGCGCTAAAACACAGTGGTGACTTTGACGCAGCCACTATTCACAGTAAAGATATTCACAGACATTGAAACATTGGTAAATGGCTTAGCAAATTGTGATTGAAGAATCGCTGCATTCATCAATCAAAAACAATGTTCTATTCCAAAAAAAATGAGACATATTATTTAGTTCAGGAACAAGAAACTCTTCTAAGTCTGGTAAGAGATGTCATGAAGCCAGAAGTTGTCAACGCAATACATTGTGAACTTCTTGTTCTCGCATTTATTCAACACGTTTTCATGCAGGAATTCTCCTCGACAGTCTTTAGATATTTGAAATCTCTAGTCATTGTAGTAACCGACAAATCAGCGCAACTCGAAATAGCTGTGGCTGAGCACAACAGAGCACATCGCACATTAAGATAACGTTAAAAAATACTATTAGGCCATTTCTTTTCCAAAATGACAAGGATTGTTACTGAAGTAGTAATGCATTGTAGAGTATTCTCGAAAGGAAAATAAAATCATCATCCTGAAAAACAGGCTACTGATTAAACACCCGTCCCAGCCTACGTAGGAGAACTTTTACACGTACATTCGCTATGTTAGCCTCCGTTCAACCATCAGCTCGCGAGCAATTATAGCCATTAAAACAACTTTACTTTAACTTCTCAAGCTGTTTCCAAAAATAAAAACCCTATAATGCGACAACGAACGCTCTCTAAAACTATGAAATCAATCTTAACGGAAAACTTTGGAATTATTATTGAATTATTAAATTTTCATAAAACCTCCAACGACCTTGAAATAGGGATTAAATAAAAATTCAGAAGGCTCAGGTAAAAACCATAGAACCATAACCGTAGAAGACAAAGTTTGTTTAGAAAAGATTATGCGGTTAGGTAACAAGTTATCAAGACTTTGTTCGGAGGAAACCGTTGAAGCGGACCTGGGGACAACGGTTTTAATCAAAGGGAGAGTGGTCCATAAAGACAACCTAAGATAACTTTAGCACAAGTAAATTTGTTGAAACCGGTTATTTTTGATGTAAGAAAGATAATAAATGAACACCGTACAAATTTCAGTGCGGCAGATGTGCCGGCGGTGATTAAAGTAAAAATATTTCCAACTAATATCTTTTGTATTTTCTTGTTAAGTTTTCATAACCGAAAGTCGTTTGTAAAAAATTAATGTTATATACCCTCCACCATAATAACGTTACATACGATTTAGATCAACACGATATCCGACTGCGGGGAGCGAATTCTGGATGTCTCTAACTGCGAGATATCCGTAGGAACAAAATTGGAGAATTTAATATGCGCTCAACACAGTCCATCCATCTACTGCCTTAGGTACTCCATTTGTCAAATCACCATGGAGTTCGGAGAAAAGCACTGGCCGTACCACCCATGGCTAAATTTCGTTATTGAGCACCATCAACTCCTTAGTCTATCCCGATTAAGGTCATCGCTCTGTAATAATCCAAGCCGTAATCAAACACCTTCATAATTCGAAGCGAAAATAATGGCTCTTCAAGAAGCATGGGAAATGTTCACAGAAAATGAAATCAATAATCAAGAATTAAAAAATAGGCAACAAAAATTTGAAATTCACAGAGCCTGTCGACGTACGATAGTACATCCGATAGCTATTTACATAGTTTAGTACGTATATATCGATAAATGTATGGATTAGCTCTCGACCGATGAACGGTCACATTGGGCTGATGTGATTTGCCGCTATGATTTAAGTTCCGCATTGATTGTCGCTTAGTGAATTAAGGAGGACATACTGCGGTAAGATTAGCTAACAGAATTGTGGTAAGTTATGTATAATGTGAATATTTTCAGAATAAAACGGCTTTACAACGGCAGTCAGCCTGCGTTACCTTTCTACTTGCTGCTCGAGCAGAGGTACGCAGCTTGTTAATACTAAAATTGGTGATAAACTGTTAGCCCAACGGCAATGAAAACGACAATCATGAGGCGCGCTGAAGGGTTATGCGTCTTTAAAGGGTCAGGCTTCCAATAAATTCATAAAATCACTCTGGACACAGCCTACGGGAAACTTAAAGAAAAAGTGTGAAACACACTATTGAACACCGCAAGTACATCATGGAAGAAGAAGAAATGCAGTTACCCAGGATTAATATTACGAAATTAGAAAAACAATTATAATAAAGGTGACAATTCTTCGGTTTTCATATGCCCAACAATGAAAATGTGGTATCTAAAATCTACTTACAAGAGACGCAGAAAGGATAATCAGTCATAAGAACACAAGGAAAAAAACGAGCGAGATTCATATGATAAGCCAAGGCAACATAGATGGAGGCTCCATATGCTCGCATGAAAGCGTCAGCGAAACCTTATAGACTCGCAGTTTCCCAGAGTACGTTTCGTTTTGTCGCATGAAGAATTAGGAAAAAATTATCGAATCGAAATTTAAACTTTAAATTTTAAAGTAATTGTTCGGTCAAACTCACAATATTTTTCGTCTTACATACTGTTTCTCTTTGTCTATACAAATGTAAACAAAGCTATTAACATGTATTAACCAATCTCTGTAAATTACTCTGTTAGAACATTATGTTATTTTGCCGCTGCTAATAAAAGGCAGTTGCTGATGTTAGATCTTGGTAAACGGTTGTCTTTTTCCCGCCTGAGTTTATAAATTGTAATTAGTTTATGCACCCCCCAACCTGATATCTTGTGCAGCACAAAAGACGCTTTGTGCATTAAACATTTTGGCGCCCAACGTGGGGCAGTGTTTAAACAAATTATTAACAATTTATTAATTCATAAACAATTGTCGAAGTATCGCCCGCAACAATTATTCGCTCGACCCGCTCATCGCAACTCAACATTGTCATAACCGCATACAAAGGTGAACATTCAACCCTAGTGCATTCATCGAAAGTGAATAATAAATAAACAAATAAAGTTATTAACTATTCACGAAAATTCTAAGGGCAACGTGTCGTTCGTATAACGGAACTTTTCGCGCTCTTCTTCGCACATCTCTTCGCTTGTGTGTGTGTGCCCGCCCGCTCTATAAGCTCGGCGTCGATCGCTCATTCTCCTTTGCTCCGTTATTCCGCCAGCAAAGTGTTGTTGTTTTGTTTACATCGCCAACTGCAGTCGCTGGTACCGTTTTTTGAGTTCTAGTCGCTTTCGCTTTGAACTAACTTCACGGCATTGCCACATTCGTCGCTCCGCGTTGTTGTTGCCGCAACTTTACTCTCGTTCTCGCATTCGCATTCTTCGTCGCAGCAATGGAAACGACTATATTGGAGACTCTCAAACGGCAACGCTCGAATATTAAGCGCAACATTACGCGCATAAGAGTAATGGTCGATGTCAAGGAAGGAGCAGAGCAGAAATCGCCGGCTGAACTTCAGTGCCGTTTGGGAATCTTAGAGTCATATTTTAAGCAAGCCCTTTCGGTACAATCAGAAATTGAGACCATGGACTCCACAGATAGTGGACGTGCAGACCTGGAGGACAGTTACATAACTACAAAGTTGGCAATTCAGCAACTTCTTGGAGAGGATCTGCACAACACAGTTTTCGACCACATCTCTGCACCAAGCTACAGCGCGCCGTCTCGACTGCCAAGATTGGCACTACCTAGCTTTGATGGAAATCATAAGGATTACAAGAACTTCATCTCGTCGTTTCTGCCACTGGTCAATCGTGAGCAAATATCTAATATAGACAAATTTAATCATCTCCGTAATTGTTTAAAGGGACCTGCACTGGAAGCTGTCGCAGCCTTCCCGGTCACTGGAGAAAATTATGCGAAGGCGCTGGAACGGCTGAAGGACCGGTATGACAAGCCTGCCCTAATCTTTGTCGAAACGATAGCCTCGATTTTTAAACTGCCGCCGGCTGCTGCGGCAAGTGCTCAACAGCTCCGCAGCCTAATCGACAACGCATCCGCGTTATATAGTGCCCTTTCATCGCTAGGCTCGGACGCTCAAATTTCTGAGGCGATGCTCATTTACGTGGTCATGGAGAAGTGCGATCAGCAGACCAAAACAAAATGGAACGAATCACTGGATTATCTCACTCTCCCATCCTGGAGCCAATGCACGCAGATACTTGAGCGCCACTGCCAGTTTCTTCTGTCTGACGAGCAATCCCATGGATCGGAGCGGCCAAGACCGACTCGTCCCCCCGCAAGATCTCACAATTCGTCGTTTTCGCTGACCAACGCACCATGTGTATACTGCCTCGCACCCTCACACAAATTGCTCGGATGTGACAAGTTTAAGGACCTTAATCCAACCGCGCGATTTGATGTCGTTAAAACACACCGTCTGTGTTTAAACTGTCTGTGTAGAGGTCACCAACTGTCGAGCTGCCCATCGAGAAATCGCTGTCGCACCTGCAACAAGGCACATCATACCCTGTTGCACAACAACCACTCGCTAGATTCATCTCGCTCGCACCAACCGTATCCAACCGCACCGCCATTGGAAGCTGCAACACACTCGCACTCGCATTCTGGCCAGAAGTCTCAGGTGTTGCTTGCCACTGCTATGGTTCTCGTCAAGGATGCGTTTGGAACCTACCGGCCTGGAAGAGCTCTTCTCGACTCCTGCTCTCAAGTGAACTTCGTGACGGAAGACTTCGCACAACGGCTTCGCTTACGGAGGGAAAGACATGCAGTCCAAATTCGAAGCATCGGCCATTCGCAAACAGATATTAAATATTGCACAACTGCATCTGTCAAATCTCGCATTTCATCTTTCGTACTCTCCGCAGATCTCTGTATTATTCCACAAATCTCATACCAGCCCGATCTGGCCATCGACGTTTCGGCTTGGAAGCTGCCAGAAAATACGCCGCTCGCTGATGAAAGATTCTACCAATCACGCCACGTCGATCTGCTACTGGGAACCGAAGCCTTCTTTGACGCCTTAACTATAGGGAAAATAAGGCTGGGACCTCAAGGCCCGCTGCTGCAGAAAACTCAGTTTGGCTGGGTCGTAACCGGCCGACTGCAGCAAACCGCGCCAATAGAAGTTTCCACTTGCATGGCTTTAAACGCAAGGTCAATTGATGTCAACCTCAAACGTCTGTGGGAACTGGAAGCAGTCGACTCGCCACCTCTGCAGAAGCCGGAGCATGCTATTTGCGAGGAACAGTACGAGAAGACCACTTGTCTCGACAGCACTGGTAGGATTGTCGTCAAACTGCCATTCAAGGCTGACCCAACTCGGTTGGGAGACTCATTTGATATCGCTCGCCGTCGGTTCCTAAGCATGGAACGCCGCCTATCGAAATCTCCAGCACTTCGTCAACAATACTGCGACTTCATGGAGGAGTATGAGAAATTGGGGCACATGTCCCCAGTTATTCATCCTAAACTGCACGAGCCGCACTACTACATCCCGCATCACTGCGTCCTCAAACCCAGCAGTGAGTCTACTAAGCTTAGGGTGGTGTTTGACGCCTCTTGCCGGACGTCAAATCAATTATCACTCAACGACTTGCTATGCGTTGGTCCAACACTCCAGGAGGACTTGTACCTGCAGCTTCTAAAGTTTAGGCTTCATCGTTACGCCATCACTGCAGATGTGACCAAGATGTATAGGCAAGTAAATCTCGACATTATTGATCGCAAATACCAGTACATTCTTTGGAGAGCATTTCCAGAAGACACGCTGCGCACGTATCAATTGAATACGGTAACCTACGGCACTGCAGCCGCCCCATTTTTGGCAACACGTAGCCTCAACCACCTCGCTGATGTTCATCAAGCTGACTGTCCAATCGGCGCCGCTATCATAAAGTCGTCTTTCTATGTTGATGACCTACTCACGGGTGCAGACGACTTAGAGACGCTTCGCATTATCAAGGATCAAGTCACAGAAATTCTTCGTCGAGGGCATTTCCCACTCACCAAATGGCATTCCAACTACGTTGGATTCATGGAAGATCATGCATCCAAGAAGCTCAGTTCCTGTGGCGAGGGACTAGCCAGCGCTCTTGGAGTGAACTGGAACCAGCACAAGGATACACTGTTCTTCAAGTTCATACCAAGGAACCACGCAACGCGTATCACCAAAAGAAGTATTTTGTCCACCGCATCCGCCTTGTTCGACCCGCTTGGTTTGCTCTCACCGCTTGTTGTTGTCGCAAAAATACTTCTGCAAGAACTTTGGCTCGCTGGCCTGCAATGGGACGAGAGCGTTCCAGAAAACATACACACGGCCTGGAGCAAATGCCTAGAATCATTCCAAACAGTCTCAATTTTATCGATTCCCCGCTATTGCCTCCAACACAAGATGCGATCACTTCAACTTCATGGATTTTGTGACGCATCAATCAGGGCTTACGGCTGCTGCGTGTATCTACGCTCGGAAACGTCGACGGGAGATGTCGCAGTGCAGCTATTGACTGGCAAATCGAGAGTGGCTCCTGTGAAGAAAAAATCCCTTCCAAAACTGGAATTGTGTGGAGCGCATTTGCTGGGCCAACTGTATGCGAAATTGAAGCCTCTATTAGCGGACAGAAACTTCTCGGTCTATTTCTGGACGGACTCGCAGATTGTGCTTCACTGGCTAAACCAGCACTCAGTCACACTGTCAGCATTCGTTGGAAACCGAATCTCCGAAATTCAAGAATGGACCGCAGATGGTCAGTGGAAATTTGTACCAGGTGAGAGCAATCCGGCGGACATAGTTTCGCGTGGAGCTGCTACAACTGAGCTGGCAGCATCGCTGTGGTTCACAGGTCCACAGTTCTTGACCCAACCATCGTCCCAGTGGCCAACCACTCCGCAAATCATCGATATGGATCCAACTATTGTCAAAGCAGAGCAACGAAGGAGCACATTCACCACGGCTGTGATCAGCAATCATGTTCTCCAACAGCAGACTCACATCAGCTCATACACTCGCCACATTCGAACCAGCACTGGGGTGTGCTGCCGACCAGTGCATAAGCTGGCAGTATTGCCCACGGACTCTCAATCTTGTTGAAAGATGATACTTTCAAGGCGGCCGGGATGTTCGGTCAAACTCACAATATTTTTCGTCTTACATACTGTTTCTCTTTGTCTATACAAATGTAAACAAAGCTATTAACATGTATTAACCAATCTCTGTAAATTACTCTGTTAGAACATTATGTTATTTTGCCGCTGCTAATAAAAGGCAGTTGCTGATGTTAGATCTTGGTAAACGGTTGTCTTTTTCCCGCCTGAGTTTATAAATTGTAATTAGTTTATGCACCCCCCAACCTGATATCTTGTGCAGCACAAAAGACGCTTTGTGCATTAAACAGTAATCTTTGCCAGGTAACCAAACTACTTCAATGGTTTTTACGGCATTATAGCGCTATCGGAGATCTCTGGGAAGTTTAAAAACCACTTTGCCAATTCGAAGCCTACCTGAATCGAAAATCTTCCTGACAACAGATACATATTCATTAAAGAAGGATCTTTGGCCAATCTCCTTTCAAGTGACAAAAATCTACGTTTCGCAAATTCATACGACGAACAATGAGTATTTGGGTCAGATTTGAAAGGGAGACGAACCGAAAACTTCCCCGACGGCAGTCTATAAGCATTTTTCCCAAAGTTTTTTACACAAAGTTGCTACTCAGGAGTACGGAATTAGCCCTAGGCGGCAAGTCCTCCACAGACCAAAATTTAGCAGGGTGGTGTCGTTGACTCCAACGCTTTTTCCTGACAGCTGAGGTGTACCGAATTTTCTGCTTTTATTTTTGTTTTCCGAGGCACATCTCCCTGACACTATCCAGACGAGAACAGTTTTTTGTAAGATGGGAAGTTCAGGGACCTGCGTTCAGGTGCCAACGCAGCTCAAATTAGTTTCAGCCACTTGCCACAATTCAGCATCCTGAGATGCGGTACAATTATACAATTATACACCCACCAAGGTCGAAAGACGGTTTTCGCTTTTAGTAGAAATCTCGGTAACTCTACGAGATAGGAAGTTGCGATTAAGCATGTAGTTTCTATGATGCGTATAATTTTTTCATCTGGCCTCGCCCAAAAATATCCGGAAAACCAAAAATGCGAATAGCGAAAAACGGAAGAAAGGGAACTATATGAGTTATAAATGTAGGCTTAGGTATACGTATAGGTGCCAAAGCAGCTTGACGTGGGCTGCCATTCGGCCACGCCCAGGTACCCGCTGATTTTCACCGCTTGATCCGAATAATGATCACCAGAAATAATTTTAAAACGTACAAATCGAATTCGCGACTTCACTATTGTGTATTTTCTTCGTTGCTTAAGCATTAGTTTCACAAATGCCCCGCAAGCTCATATTTCCGGCATCGACTTAACTCATTATTAAATGTATAAGGATAGCATTCGTTATCCGTAAGTCAACCCCAATATATAGCAGAGAACTATAAAGAGCTCTGACTGTGTCGATCAGGCTTTTCAAGGCTGTAATTGATGGCTGAGACATTTTCGGTATATTTAAAAAAGTCGATATATTGTCGAAGACAACCAGGCAGGCAACCATTACGTACACCCGCTTCAGGCTAGCCAGTGCTATGGGATAATTATCCGCAGAGACTTCCCCTGACGGTGCCTAAAGCGTCACCAGACAGACACGAGTGTCATGTTTGTCGACATATGTTTTGAAAAGGCTTAAAAAATTTTAAAATTCGGAGTTCTCTCCGCTGAATGTCGGAAGAGAAACGCTCGGCAAACGGCATTGGGAAGTGCGCTTTGCCGGCGAAGCATTAATTTTGCCATTACGGCGGTTTCCCCGCGGAACAATCTTGCTGTGTTTTTTTTGAATTGTCAAAGCATTCACTATGAGCGAAGTTTAAATTTCTAAACGACATTCTATTCGACTGGATTTAACTCTCGACTCTCTTGTAAATATTGCTGAGTTCGGGATATACATCTCATTATTCAATCTGATTTATTTTTAGGGACTTTGATTTCTTTGCTAGCCATGTTTTATTATTTATTTAAATGTTCTTAATTAAATCGAAGAGCTTATTAAAAATTTTATTGAATAATAAAAGGTAAAAAAACAAACGAGTGGTGTTCGATGACATCATAAGTTAATTCTAATTTCATTTAATTATTACTGATTTATAAATAATTTTGTTTAATTTGCCTAACAATTTGAATTCTTGCCAACTTGTTCTACTTAACTACCCTACACTGTAATCATATGTTTATTTTGAATTCGTCTTACGCACTCTTATACATGCAGCTCACACATGTACATATCTCTCTTTTTGTAATCTCGAAATCGAACATTGAATATCAGTGCATATTAGAAATCGAAACAACTCGGACGTTTCTTCTAATTACTCTGCATTTGGCAGAGTCCGCACATTTTGGCGACCGTGACAGGACTCTGCATTGGGCAAGTCCCACTATAAATTCTATTCACACTTAGCATCATTCCCTCTGCATTCGGCGGAGAAGTATATTCCCGCAACGCCAGAATACTAGGTGTATTTTCGGCACGCAGTGCAGCTCATTGGACTACTGTCAGTGCGTTTGGCATCATCGTTGGCTCTCCGGAAGCATCGTTGGATCACCGGAATCATCGCCACTAGGGCGTCGTGGATGCCTGTATACAGCTTGGCAAGCGAAGGAACAGCGACACAAAGAAGACGAAAAACTGTAAGATAGACTCGCAAATGCAATCGGGGTTTGTCATTCCACTTTCAACCAAAAGGCATTGCCTATATATACACATACTTGTGCAGCTGGTCTGCAAGTAGATAAGACAAAAATTGAGTTACTCTCCATCGGAGTGTTTTGTTTTTCCCTCTGAGCAAAAGGGCATTGCCAACATATTTGGATAAGGTATTGCTTCACTCAATAATTGCTCCACACTTAGTTTTCGCTAAATAACTCTTCGCAAAATTACTGATACTCAACTCGTGTTTTCAATTATCATCACTCGTTTTGGAGCGTCAAAGATGCACCGGCCAGAAGATGCAAGTTTCTTCAATTCATCAGCAAATTGCGCAACTGGGCACCATAATCGTTTCCCTTCGTTAAGGCTGCCTTCGTTCGACAGGAAGTATGGTGACTACATGAAGTTTATCACTGCCTTTACTAGCATGGTACATGATGACGCTTCAATATAAACTGTTGACAAATTTAACAACCTGCTTAACTGTTTGTCTGGTCCCGCGCTGAGTGTCGTGGCCCCCTTTCAAGTGTCCGAAATCAATTATCCAAAGGTGTTAAGGCAGTTAAAGGAGCGCTACGATAAAAAGGTTTTTATTTTCATAGAGCTCATTTCTAGCTTATTTGATATTCAAATTATGAAAAGATTTAAGTTCCGCATTGATTGTCGCTTAGTGAATTAAGGAGGACATACTGCGGTAAGATTAGCTAACAGAATTGTGGTAAGTTATGTATAATGTGAATATTTTCAGAATAAAACGGCTTTACAACGGCAGTCAGCCTGCGTTACCTTTCTACTTGCTGCTCGAGCAGAGGTACGCAGCTTGTTAATACTAAAATTGGTGATAAACTGTTAGCCCAACGGCAATGAAAACGACAATCATGAGGCGCGCTGAAGGGTTATGCGTCTTTAAAGGGTCAGGCTTCCAATAAATTCATAAAATCACTCTGGACACAGCCTACGGGAAACTTAAAGAAAAAGTGTGAAACACACTATTGAACACCGCAAGTACATCATGGAAGAAGAAGAAATGCAGTTACCCAGGATTAATATTACGAAATTAGAAAAACAATTATAATAAAGGTGACAATTCTTCGGTTTTCATATGCCCAACAATGAAAATGTGGTATCTAAAATCTACTTACAAGAGACGCAGAAAGGATAATCAGTCATAAGAACACAAGGAAAAAAACGAGCGAGATTCATATGATAAGCCAAGGCAACATAGATGGAGGCTCCATATGCTCGCATGAAAGCGTCAGCGAAACCTTATAGACTCGCAGTTTCCCAGAGTACGTTTCGTTTTGTCGCATGAAGAATTAGGAAAAAATTATCGAATCGAAATTTAAACTTTAAATTTTAAAGTAATCTTTGCCAGGTAACCAAACTACTTCAATGGTTTTTACGGCATTATAGCGCTATCGGAGATCTCTGGGAAGTTTAAAAACCACTTTGCCAATTCGAAGCCTACCTGAATCGAAAATCTTCCTGACAACAGATACATATTCATTAAAGAAGGATCTTTGGCCAATCTCCTTTCAAGTGACAAAAATCTACGTTTCGCAAATTCATACGACGAACAATGAGTATTTGGGTCAGATTTGAAAGGGAGACGAACCGAAAACTTCCCCGACGGCAGTCTATAAGCATTTTTCCCAAAGTTTTTTACACAAAGTTGCTACTCAGGAGTACGGAATTAGCCCTAGGCGGCAAGTCCTCCACAGACCAAAATTTAGCAGGGTGGTGTCGTTGACTCCAACGCTTTTTCCTGACAGCTGAGGTGTACCGAATTTTCTGCTTTTATTTTGTTTTCCGAGGCACATCTCCCTGACACTATCCAGACGAGAACAGTTTTTTTGTAAGATGGGAAGTTCAGGGACCTGCGTTCAGGTGCCAACGCAGCTCAAATTAGTTTCAGCCACTTGCCACAATTCAGCATCCTGAGATGCGGTACAATTATACAATTATACACCCACCAAGGTCGAAAGACGGTTTTCGCTTTTAGTAGAAATCTCGGTAACTCTACGAGATAGGAAGTTGCGATTAAGCATGTAGTTTCTATGATGCGTATAATTTTTTCATCTGGCCTCGCCCAAAAATATCCGGAAAACCAAAAATGCGAATAGCGAAAAACGGAAGAAAGGGAACTATATGAGTTATAAATGTAGGCTTAGGTATACGTATAGGTGCCAAAGCAGCTTGACGTGGGCTGCCATTCGGCCACGCCCAGGTACCCGCTGATTTTCACCGCTTGATCCGAATAATGATCACCAGAAATAATTTTAAAACGTACAAATCGAATTCGCGACTTCACTATTGTGTATTTTCTTCGTTGCTTAAGCATTAGTTTCACAAATGCCCCGCAAGCTCATATTTCCGGCATCGACTTAACTCATTATTAAATGTATAAGGATAGCATTCGTTATCCGTAAGTCAACCCCAATATATAGCAGAGAACTATAAAGAGCTCTGACTGTGTCGATCAGGCTTTTCAAGGCTGTAATTGATGGCTGAGACATTTTCGGTATATTTAAAAAAGTCGATATATTGTCGAAGACAACCAGGCAGGCAACCATTACGTACACCCGCTTCAGGCTAGCCAGTGCTATGGGATAATTATCCGCAGAGACTTCCCCTGACGGTGCCTAAAGCGTCACCAGACAGACACGAGTGTCATGTTTGTCGACATATGTTTTGAAAAGGCTTAAAAAATTTTAAAATTCGGAGTTCTCTCCGCTGAATGTCGGAAGAGAAACGCTCGGCAAACGGCATTGGGAAGTGCGCTTTGCCGGCGAAGCATTAATTTTGCCATTACGGCGGTTTCCCCGCGGAACAATCTTGCTGTGTTTTTTTTGAATTGTCAAAGCATTCACTATGAGCGAAGTTTAAATTTCTAAACGACATTCTATTCGACTGGATTTAACTCTCGACTCTCTTGTAAATATTGCTGAGTTCGGGATATACATCTCATTATTCAATCTGATTTATTTTTAGGGACTTTGATTTCTTTGCTAGCCATGTTTTATTATTTATTTAAATGTTCTTAATTAAATCGAAGAGCTTATTAAAAATTTTATTGAATAATAAAAGGTAAAAAAACAAACGAGTGGTGTTCGATGACATCATAAGTTAATTCTAATTTCATTTAATTATTACTGATTTATAAATAATTTTGTTTAATTTGCCTAACAATTTGAATTCTTGCCAACTTGTTCTACTTAACTACCCTACACTGTAATCATATGTTTATTTTGAATTCGTCTTACGCACTCTTATACATGCAGCTCACACATGTACATATCTCTCTTTTGTAATCTCGAAATCGAACATTGAATATCAGTGCATATTAGAAATCGAAACAACTCGGACGTTTCTTCTAATTACTCTGCATTTGGCAGAGTCCGCACATTTTGGCGACCGTGACAGGACTCTGCATTGGGCAAGTCCCACTATAAATTCTATTCACACTTAGCATCATTCCCTCTGCATTCGGCGGAGAAGTATATTCCCGCAACGCCAGAATACTAGGTGTATTTTCGGCACGCAGTGCAGCTCATTGGACTACTGTCAGTGCGTTTGGCATCATCGTTGGCTCTCCGGAAGCATCGTTGGATCACCGGAATCATCGCCACTAGGGCGTCGTGGATGCCTGTATACAGCTTGGCAAGCGAAGGAACAGCGACACAAAGAAGACGAAAAACTGTAAGATAGACTCGCAAATGCAATCGGGGTTTGTCATTCCACTTTCAACCAAAAGGCATTGCCTATATATACACATACTTGTGCAGCTGGTCTGCAAGTAGATAAGACAAAAATTGAGTTACTCTCCCGACCATCGGAGTGTTTTGTTTTTCCCTCTGAGCAAAAGGGCATTGCCAACATATTTGGATAAGGTATTGCTTCACTCAATAATTGCTCCACACTTAGTTTTCGCTAAATAACTCTTCGCAAAATTACTGATACTCAACTCGTGTTTTCAATTATCATCACTCGTTTTGGAGCGTCAAAGATGCACCGGCCAGAAGATGCAAGTTTCTTCAATTCATCAGCAAATTGCGCAACTGGGCACCATAATCGTTTCCCTTCGTTAAGGCTGCCTTCGTTCGACAGGAAGTATGGTGACTACATGAAGTTTATCACTGCCTTTACTAGCATGGTACATGATGACGCTTCAATATAAACTGTTGACAAATTTAACAACCTGCTTAACTGTTTGTCTGGTCCCGCGCTGAGTGTCGTGGCCCCCTTTCAAGTGTCCGAAATCAATTATCCAAAGGTGTTAAGGCAGTTAAAGGAGCGCTACGATAAAAAGGTTTTTATTTTCATAGAGCTCATTTCTAGCTTATTTGATATTCAAATTATGAAAAGATTTAAGTTCCGCATTGATTGTCGCTTAGTGAATTAAGGAGGACATACTGCGGTAAGATTAGCTAACAGAATTGTGGTAAGTTATGTATAATGTGAATATTTTCAGAATAAAACGGCTTTACAACGGCAGTCAGCCTGCGTTACCTTTCTACTTGCTGCTCGAGCAGAGGTACGCAGCTTGTTAATACTAAAATTGGTGATAAACTGTTAGCCTGTGTTTTCAATTATCATCACTCGTTTTGGAGCGTCAAAGATGCACCGGCCAGAAGATGCAAGTTTCTTCAATTCATCAGCAAATTGCGCAACTGGGCACCATAATCGTTTCCCTTCGTTAAAGCTGCCTTCGTTCGACAGGAAGTATGGTGACTACATGAAGTTTATCACTGCCTTTACTAGCATGGTACATGATGACGCTTCAATATAAACTGTTGACAAATTTAACAACCTGCTTAACTGTTTGTCTGGTCCCGCGCTGAGTGTCGTGGCCCCCTTTCAAGTGTCCGAAATCAATTATCCAAAGGTGTTAAGGCAGTTAAAGGAGCGCTACGATAAAAAGGTTTTTTATTTTCATAGAGCTCATTTCTAGCTTATTTGATATTCAAATTATGAAAAGATTTAAGTTCCGCATTGATTGTCGCTTAGTGAATTAAGGAGGACATACTGCGGTAAGATTAGCTAACAGAATTGTGGTAAGTTATGTATAATGTGAATATTTTCAGAATAAAACGGCTTTACAACGGCAGTCAGCCTGCGTTACCTTTCTACTTGCTGCTCGAGCAGAGGTACGCAGCTTGTTAATACTAAAATTGGTGATAAACTGTTAGCCCAACGGCAATGAAAACGACAATCATGAGGCGCGCTGAAGGGTTATGCGTCTTTAAAGGGTCAGGCTTCCAATAAATTCATAAAATCACTCTGGACACAGCCTAGGGAAACTTAAAGAAAAGTGTGAAACACACTATTGAACACCGCAAGTACATCATGGAAGAAGAAGAAATGCAGTTACCCAGGATTAATATTACGAAATTAGAAAAACAATTATAATAAAGGTGACAATTCTTCGGTTTTCTTATGCCCAACAATGAAAATGTGGTATCTAAAATCTACTTACAAGAGACGCAGAAAGGATAATCAGTCATAAGAACACAAGGAAAAAAACGAGCGAGATTCATATGATAAGCCAAGGCAACATAGATGGAGGCTCCATATGCTCGCATGAAAGCGTCAGCGAAACCTTATAGACTCGCAGTTTCCCAGAGTACGTTTCGTTTTGTCGCATGAAGAATTAGGAAAAAATTATCGAATCGAAATTTAAACTTTAAATTTTAAAGTAATCTTTGCCAGGTAACCAAACTACTTCAATGGTTTTTACGGCATTATAGCGCTATCGGAGATCTCTGGGAAGTTTAAAAACCACTTTGCCAATTCGAAGCCTACCTGAATCGAAAATCTTCCTGACAACAGATACATATTCATTAAAGAAGGATCTTTGGCCAATCTCCTTTCAAGTGACAAAAATCTACGTTTCGCAAATTCATACGACGAACAATGAGTATTTGGGTCAGATTTGAAAGGGAGACGAACCGAAAACTTCCCCGACGGCAGTCTATAAGGATTTTTCCCAAAGTTTTTTTACACAAAGTTGCTACTCAGAGTACGGAATTAGCCCCTAGGCGGCAAGTCCTCCACAGACCAAAATTTAGCAGGGTGGTGTCGTTGACTCCAACGCTTTTTCCTGACAGCTGAGGTGTACCGAATTTTCTGCTTTTATTTTGTTTTCCGAGGCACATCTCCCTGACACTATCCAGACGAGAACAGTTTTTTTGTAAGATGGGAAGTTCAGGGACCTGCGTTCAGGTGCCAACGCAGCTCAAATTAGTTTCAGCCACTTGCCACAATTCAGAAGATGCAAGTTTCTTCAATTCATCAGCAAATTGCGCAACTGGGCACCATAATCGTTTCCCTTCGTTAAGGCTGCCTTCGTTCGACAGGAAGTATGGTGACTACATGAAGTTTATCACTGCCTTTACTAGCATGGTACATGATGACGCTTCAATATAAACTGTTGACAAATTTAACAACCTGCTTAACTGTTTGTCTGGTCCCGCGCTGAGTGTCGTGGCCCCCTTTCAAGTGTCCGAAATCAATTATCCAAAGGTGTTAAGGCAGTTAAAGGAGCGCTACGATAAAAAGGTTTTTATTTTCATAGAGCTCATTTCTAGCTTATTTGATATTCAAATTATGAAAAGATCTGATCCCGCAGCTCTTCGCTGTATTTGGATACCGTCTCCGCGCTGCGTGAATCGTTGTTGTCGTTAGGAACAGAAGCAGATGTTATGAATGCAATACTAATTCATCTTGTTTTATCTAAAATTGATGCAGATTCGAAATTATCGTACGATCGGGTTCAAGAATACGAGGTGTTGCCTACTTGGGAGGAGTGTTATCGCAGTTTAAGCCGTCATTGTCTATATTTGGAGAGCAACGTCAAACGATAATCTGATGAGAAGCCAAAGGAAAGGCACACGCAGAATAGGAGACCCTTTGTTACGGCACAGGGTGGTTGTAAAAAATGTTCTGCTACTTATCATTTTCTCACTCAGTGCCCTTCCTTTGGTTTACTAGATAAATTGAATTTCGTCAAGCTATCCGCTCTGTGCATAATTGTTTGCGCACCGACTATTTGCCGAGCAGATGTCCAAGTAGGTCTCGGTGCCGCGTTTGTAAAGACTGACATCAAACTATTCTGCATAGAACTGATCATCCAGAGCAACCAACACAAATTATTTTCACTCACCTCAGCAGCAGCAGGAACCTACACATGCTCTTTCCATGCTTTCGCGTCATTCAAGGCGCGCTTTAATTCCTACGGCAATAGTATTGATTAGGGATAAGTTCGGAATATTTCAGCCAGCCAGGGCTTTGCTTGACTCAGGCTCTGAAATAAATTTCATCTCTGAAGAGTTGGCCAAGCTCCTTCAGCTCAGATTCGAGAAACAGAAGTATGACATTTCTGGCATAGGCGATGTCAGAACGCAGATGAGATTGAACTTGGTTGGATCGTTGGCGGAAAGGGGTCTGATATTCCGCAATCGCAAGTCGTAACGTGCAACATGGCACGTTCTATGGAGCTGCAAGGTGCATTAGAAAGGTTTTGGCTAATAGGGGAGTTTGATTCGCACGTTCCAGGTTTCACCAAGGTTTCAAACACAAGGTTTCTCACATCTGCTTGCCATTTAAGTAGAATCCTCACATGTTAGGTAAATCTTTTGAAATTGCCAAATCCCGTCTTTTGCAAAATGGACGTAGGTTGAGCCGCAACCCGTTGTTAAAGATGTACGTTCAATTCATGAGGGAATACATAGATTTGAATCACATGCAATTGGCGTCTGATTTCGACTCTCAAAAGAAACATCATGTAATCCCGCATTATGGAGTCCTTAGATCAGAAAGCACGACTACCAAGATGCGTGTTCTGTTTGATGCATCGTGCAAAGCAACATCAAACCTTTCTCTGAATGAGTTGTTGATGATTGGGCCAAGCATCCAGCAGAATCTAATCTTAACACTTATTGCCTTTTGCTTACATCGTCATGCACTTTGGGCATGTCGTGGCAACCAAAATTAGATGTGTTCTGTTTCAGGTATGCCCTACCTACACTTGTAGGTCACTTGTACGATTTTCTAGGGCTCGTATCACAGGTCGTCATTCGATCGAAAATATTGGTTCAAGAGTTGTGGATGCACCATCTGAACTGGGACGATCCACTTTCCCCTGAGCTTCAATCTCAGTGGAAGCGAATAGAAGAAGATTTGCACAATCCGAATTCCATGATGTATTAACTCGTCCCCATGAAATCTATCGGAAATACACGGATTTTCAGATGCATCGCAGCGAGCTAATGGCTGTTGCCTATATCTGCGAACATACATAAATGGAGAGTTTAAATCAATGCTTATCATCGCCAAGTCTAAAGTGGCGCCAATAAAGGCAAGAATTGTGCGCCTCATATTTATTGTGTCAAACATGGGCCAAGATTAAGCTAAAATTCGGAAAATACATTAAAAACATTTTCTTTTGGACAGATTCAAGAATAGTTTTACAGTGGTTAACCATGCACTCGTCCAGGCTAAACTGTTTCGTCGCCAACCGGATTTCTGAGATAGAATCAAACACGTCAAATATCACTTGGAGGCACGTTCCGGGCAAGTACGATCTCGCGGACATAGTGTCCAGAGACTGCGCAGCGTCCGAGCTTATGGAAACTATATGGTTTCGTGGACCAATCTTCTTCGGTCAGGACTCATTTGGATAGCCTCAACCAGTACCAAATTCTCAGGAGACCAATGAAGAGTTGAAGCTGCGAAAAGCAACAGTCCTCACATGTACCGATAGTGGTAGCAAGGAAGATATATTCGACTACGTTATCAACAAATTCTCATCCTATCGGCGCATTTTGCGAGTCATAGCTTTTGTGTTGCGCGTCTTCAATAGAATCAAGGTCAACAGAAAATTTAACTTAGTCGATGTAATTCATACACCAGTAACTGAATTGCAATACGCGTTCAAGCACATCGTATCACATATTCAGCAAAAGACCTTTTCCAACGAAATCCTGCAACTAAAGGAAAATAAGATTTGTAACGACCCGTGATATCAAGTAATAGACCCGCACTTAAGTGTACTTAAATTCGGTTTATTTCATTTCTTTATTAACACACGTCTGTCTTGCTCGCTCACTTATTTAGAACTAAACTCTCGTCTCTCTTGACACTCATCACTCGTGTCCGCTGCTAGCATCGTCGCTCTTCTCGCTGCTCTGTGCAGATTCCCACATCCCTCCTTTATTAACAAGTTTCAGCTTCAAAGGTTGATGTAAGCTTTCCGCCAACCGCTCCGTTCGATGTTCCTGGTCTTCCCCATCTTCCTGGTAGTCCTGTCCCGATGTCCTATTATCTCGAGCGTTACCTAAAGGAGAAATTACAGATGCCGTTGCCTCGCTTGTCATTATTGGAATCTTCTTGACATGGGATACGTTCCTAATAAGTGTCTTACCCTCTGCCGTAATTTTAATAATATTATTGTTTCTTTCTACTACTTCATATTCGGTGTCGCCAAAAGTTGGAGTTAATTTGTTTGTGAAAATTACATTCTTCAAAAGCACCTTATCCCCTACCTTTATTTCGATTTCTTTAGCCCCTCTCTTTTTGTCTGCCTGTTCTTTCCCTTTTTGTTTTAGTATACAATCTCTATCCCTTTCAGCCGAGTCTGTAATGTCATCTATACATGGAACTTTGTCTCGAACGACCCTATTGAACATAAGCTGAGTTGGAGCTACTCCTGTAGTTGTGCATGAGTACGAACTTCTGAATCTCCTCTTTGTAATTATTTGAATTTGAATATGCGATTTTTAATCGTTTCACTAAAGATCAATTCATGTTTTCCACCTCACCATTAGCCTGGGGCCAATAGGGTGGTGTCTTCACCTGCTCTATTCCGCAAATTTTGCAATATTCCGCGAATTCTGAGCTGATATATTGTCGACCATTGTCAGTTCTTAAGTATTTTGGATAACCTAATCTACAAAATATCTCTTTCATTACTTCAATGAGGCTAGCTGACGAAATAGAGCGTAAAAATTTGAATTCCATATAGCGAGAGTAGTAATCTATAAAAACCAGGATGAACTCGTTATTGGGTAAAGGACCCAGCAAATCGGACGCTACCCAAATCCATGGGCCAGTTGGAAATGGATTTCTATTCATGGGCGCTGGTCTGGATGGTTGAGACACCAGGAGGCAATCTTTGCAGTGTTTTATGAATTTTTCCGCGTCGCGGTCAATCCGAGGCCACCAAACTTTTGATCTTAACCGCCTTTTCATGGCCGATTCTCCTGGGTGCCCTTCATGAGCCAGCTCGAGAATCCGATTTCGAAGTGATGTTGGAATAACGATACGATTACCACGCAGGGGGAGAGGTTAAAATCGTATGACTGCAGACGTAGGAGCCACCTCTCTATACGGGCTGGTGGTTTCGATGTTGGTTTGAAAATTGCATCCAAAGGTTTGTGGTCGGTCAACAGTTCGAATCGAATTCCAACCAGGTAGTAGTAAAATCGCTCTACCGCCCAGACTAGAGCCAGACTTTCTTTCTCCGTTTGCGAATAACGTTGTTCGGTCAAACTCACAATATTTTTCGTCTTACATACTGTTTCTCTTTGCCTATACAAATGTAAACAAAGCTTATTAACATGTATTAACCAATCTCTGTAAATTACTCTGTTAGAACATTATGTTATTTTGCCGCTGCTAATAAAAGGCAGTTGCTGATGTTAGATCTTGGTAAACGGTTGTCTTTTTCTCGCCTGAGTTTATAGATTGTAATTAGTTTATGCACCCCTGATATCTTGTGCAGCACAAAAGACGCTTTGTGCATTAAACATTTTGGCGCCCAACGTGGCGCAATCGGCGCCGCTATCATAAAGTCGTCTTTCTATGTTGATGACCTACTCACGGGTGCAGACGAGTTAGAGACGCTTCGCATTATCAAGGATCAAGTCACAGAAATTCTTCGTCGAGGGCATTTCCCACTCACCAAATGGCATTCCAACTACGTTGGATTCATGGAAGATCATGCATCCAAGAAGCTCAGTTCCTGTGGCGAGGGACTAGCCAGCGCTCTTGGAGTGAACTGGAACCAGCACAAGGATACACTGTTCTTCAAGTTCATACCAAGGAACCACGCAACGCGTATCACCAAAAGAAGTATTTTGTCCACCGCATCCGCCTTGTTCGACCCGCTTGGTTTGCTCTCACCGCTTGTTGTTGTCGCAAAAATACTTCTGCAAGAACTTTGGCTCGCTGGCCTGCAATGGGACGAGAGCGTTCCAGAAAACATACACACAGCCTGGAGCAAATGCCTAGAATCATTCCAAACAGTCTCAATTTTATCGATTCCCCGCTATTGCCTCCAACACAAGATGCGATCACTTCAACTTCATGGATTTTGTGACGCATCAATCAGGGCTTACGGCTGCTGCGTGTATCTACGCTCGGAAACGTCGACGGGAGATGTCGCAGTGCAGCTATTGACTGGCAAATCGAGAGTGGCTCCTGTGAAGAAAAATCCCTTCCAAAACTGGAATTGTGTGGAGCGCATTTGCTGGGCCAACTGTATGCGAAATTGAAGCCTCTATTAGCGGACAGAAAATTCTCGGTCTATTTCTGGACGGACTCGCAGATTGTGCTTCACTGGCTAAAACAGCACTCAGTCACACTGTCAGCATTCGTTGGAAACCGAATCTCCGAAATTCAAGAATGGACCGCAGATGGCCAGTGGAAATTTGTACCAGGTGAGAGCAATCCGGCGGACATAGTTTCGCGCGGAGCTGCTACATCTGAGCTGGCAGCATCGCTGTGGTTCACAGGTCCACAGTTCTTGACCCAACCATCGTCCCAGTGGCCAACCACTCCGCAAATCATCGATATCGATCCAACTATTGTCAAAGCAGAGCAACGAAGGAGCACATTCACCACGGCTGTGATCAGCAATCATGTTCTCCAACAGCTGACTCACATCAGCTCATACACTCGCTGCATTCGAACCATCGCATACGTCTTTCGCTTCGCCAACTTATCAAGAGGAGTCAAAATTGTCAATCCATCGCTTACATCGGAAGAACTTCGCCGCGCATTGTTCAGCATCGTCTACAATATTCAGCAACAGTCGTTCCTTGAAGATTTTCACTCGCTGCAGAAAGCTAAGCCGCTTACAAGTCACCTAAAGTATTTAACGCCTTTTCTCGACAGCTCATCAGGACATGCTCTTATAAGGGTTGGAGGACGATTACAGAACGCCGACATCCCTGAATCTGAAAGGCATCCGCTGCTACTGCCTAGCAAATCGCACTTTGCGTGGATTTATGTACGACACTTGCATCTGAGGAATTGTCACGCAGGCCCGAAAGCTCTAGTCGCGCTAATCCGTCTGGAATACTGGATCATCAACGCCAGGGACCTGGCTCGTCGAGTGGTGCGTTCCTGTATCGCCTGCGTTCGGTTCAGACCCAAACTGGAGAACCAACTCATGGGATCGCTACCACTAGAACGAGTGCTACCGCAACAGCCGTTCCAAAGGTGTGGCGTCGACTTCTGCGGACCGTTTAACACATATCTTCGCATTAGAGGAAAGGGTCCAACAAAGTCCTACCTCGCCGTCTTCATTTGTTTGGCATCCAAGGCCGTCCATATAGAAGTCGTCTCGGATTTGTCAACCAAGGCATTTCTTGCAGCACTTAAACGGATGATCGCCAGACGGTCAATTCCAACCGACATCTTCTGCGACAACGGAACCAATTTCGTCGGAGCTGCCAACCATCTTCAAGAACTACGAGCGTTCCTTCAAGACAAAGCCACGCAAGAAGTCATTTCGTCTTATTTGTCAACTGATTTCATAACTTTCCATTTCATCCCTCCTAGAGCTGCTCACTTTGGAGGCCTTTGGGAGGCGGCGGTAAAAAGCGCCAAGAGTCTACTCTACAGAACACTGATGAATTCAAGATTCACCTTCGAGGAGCTCTGCACCATAACCACTGAAGTCGAAGCGATTCTCAACTCGCGCCCATTGTCTCCGCTGTCTCCAGATCCCAACGACTTTGGGGCACTTACGCCGGGCCGGGACTGTGTCATCAACACATGCGTCCAGCCTGGAACGATTCGACGCCGTGACCGCGAGCAAACAACAGTTTTGGCGAAGGTGGTCGCTTGAGTACCTACAGGAACTACGCTCGCGCACCAAATGGACAACACCATCGGCCAACATCAGGGCTAACACCATGGTCATCATCCACGACGACAATCTGCCTCCTCAGCGATGGAAGATTGGGCGCGTCGAGACCGTTGTTCCCGGAAAGGATGGGCTAGTTCGAGTGGCCCACATTCGAACCAGCACTGGGGTGTGCTGCCGACCAGTGCATAAGCTGGCAGTATTACCCACGGATTCTCAATCTTGTTGAAAGATGATACTTTCAAGGCGGCCGGGATGTTCGGTCAAACTCACAATATTTTTCGTCTTACATACTGTTTCTCTTTGCCTATACAAATGTAAACAAAGCTTATTAACATGTATTAACCAATCTCTGTAAATTACTCTGTTAGAACATTATGTTATTTTGCCGCTGCTAATAAAAGGCAGTTGCTGATGTTAGATCTTGGTAAACGGTTGTCTTTTTCTCGCCTGAGTTTATAGATTGTAATTAGTTTATGCACCCCCCAACCTGATATCTTGTGCAGCACAAAAGACGCTTTGTGCATTAAACAAACGTTTTTCAACATCCGATAACGCTCGGCTTGCAAATGAAATAATAAGGGATCATTGTTAGCCAAGAACTGCAATAAAACTGCTCCGAGTGCTACAGGACTGGCATCTGCTACGAGACGGGTTCGATTTCCTGGATTGAAATATTGAAGATTTGGCACATATGCCAGTCGATTCTTTAGGTTCAGAAAAGCGTTTTTCTCTGTTTCGCCCCAGCTGAATTTCGTGTCCTTCTTTAAAAGTTGACGTAGAGGTTCCGTACAGTCTGCTAGATCAGGAATAAATTTCCCTACGTACGTCACCAGGCCGAGAAAACTTCGTATCTCCTCTTTATTGATTGGCTCTCGAAATGCTTTAATAGCATCAACTTTATCGGGATCGACTTCAATGCCTCTATCGGAAAGAATGTGGCCAAGAAATTTAAGTTTTTTGCTTTTTCAAACGCATTTTTGGTCATTTAGCAGTACGTTGTTTTCCTCGAATACCTTGCGGACATCTCTTACGGTTTTGTCATGTTCCTCTTGACTTTCTCCGAAGATAATAACGTCTTCGATGTAGTTCATAACATTCGGAAAATCTACTAACAGCTGCTCGAGATGACTTTGAAAAATCTCTGGAGCAGAATTGACTCCGAACATCAATCTTTTATATCGAAAAAGTCCCATTGGTGTTATAAAGGTTGTGATTTCCCTGCTGTCTTCATCCAGTTCCTGCTGATGATAAGCGTCTTTCAAGTCTAAGCGCGAAAAGAATCGTGCACCTCTGAGTTTGGTCATAAAAGATTCAAAAGTTGGTAGTGGATAGTTTTCTCGACGAATTGCCTTGTTCGCCAGACGCATATCAACGCAGAGTCGAATATCGCCATTCTCCTTAAACGCCAGGACAATTAGGGAGGTAAGAGATTCAATAATGTCTCGCTTCAAACCTTCATCAAGCTTAACTGCAACTTTATCTTCAAGTGCCACTGGGATCCTCCGCACCGGCTGCTGAACAGGCTTGATTTGGGGACCAATGCACAGCTTTATTTCAACACCTTTCCATTTGCGAAATGGTGCGGTCGTTTCAACTCGATTGACACTTAGGCCAAGACGAATAACATTTAGCTTTATGGCTGTCTCACGCCCAGTAGTGACTGTCGTCCATTTTTAATAACAAAAAATGTAGGAATCACCTCGACATCTGGTACAGCTGATATCGGTGCTTCAAAAACACAAATTACTTCTAGTAATTGTTTTTGTGAATGTGATCTCACATTAAACACCGCCGGGGTTTTTCTTTTCAGTGTTTCCCAGTCTATATGGCTGATGGATTGAATCGCGAACCAGAATCAATAATAGAGAAACTTCTTGGCCTCCAATTTTGCAGCTGATAAGCTCTTCTTCCTCGTCACTGCTGTATTTTGTACTGTATTTTGAAGCAATTCGAGCTTTCCTTCTTCCTTTTGAAATCAGATCGACCATCTCCAGCGCAATCGTCATTTGATCGTAGCTTTAGGTTTCCATTTTTATGCTGAGGATACTGTTTCGACCTGCATCTGCGTGCAAAATGCCCTATTTTCGAGCATTTATTGCATTTGGCGAGTCGCGCCGGACAAACGGGATCACTATTGGCATGACCCATCCGACCACACCTAGAACATCCCACTTCCAGTTTGGCTTTACGAGCCTCAATTTTGTTTATTGCCTCAACGGTTGGCTTCTGCATTGCTTCGGATTGTTTGTTAATTTGCTCCTCGGCTTGACACGCCTCAACAATCTCGTCTAGGGAGTGCTCTTTACTCAGAAGTTTCTTCTTTAATTCCGGAGGTGCCCACGAGTCCAGTATTTTGTCCTTAAGACAGATTTCCTCGATTTCCATTTTCGATTCGCCAAAGAAGCATTTATACATTTGTTGTCGTAGCCGAAGAATAAATTTCGAGAAATTTTCCCCCTCCTGTGGAGCAAAATTGCGAAAAAGATGTCGTTCGAACGTGGAATTTTGCTTAGGTGAAAAATAGGCATTTAACTTCTCAATTAAAATAACGAAAACATTATTGTCCAGCTTTTCATCGTACTCAATTATTGCGCCTGGTAATGAGTATACAACAGCTCCACCCAAATGAAGTAGTTTTGTTCTCTTGGTTTTTGGTGACTCAATTTGGTCAACCTCCATAGCTATGGCGTACGCTCTTAACCATTTTTCCCATTTATTTCTGAGCACCGATTTTTCAATCGTGTCACATAGAAATGGTTTAAGAATATTATCAGTCATCTTAACTGTAAAACGAGATTGTTATTACTCAGCCTTTTACATGTTTTCTTTTTGTCGACTTGTATTTTATACACGATCGATTTAATATTTGGCTTACGCAAGACGAAACTCTTTCGCACAGCCTTCTCTTTTTACATACATATGTATATTCGTACTTATTTGCATCTGTATATGTGGCTTGCATAGATTTATCTCTCTTAATATTTTGGCTTGTATGACACTCAGCCTCTCTTTGTTAGAATAATTTCACTCTCTTTGGCTCACATACAAACGTGTGTACGTTGCTGCGATGGACTTGTTAAATTTAACACTTCATCATTTTCTACTTCTCTTTTCTTTTACTCTTTGCTTAGAGATTTCGTCTTGCGTGGAGAACATCGCCTCTGAGAGCGAAGCCTCTCACGCCAACGTAGACACAAGAACCGTTATCTTTCGTTTTGTGCTCTACTTTCGCACTCTTTTTCGTTTTTGTGTACTTACATTGGAATTATATTTTAATTCACTAGAATTAAGTTTCACTTAGAAATATATATATATATATATATATATATTTGGCACAAAATAGTAAATTTACCTCGTCGTCAATGTAACGACCCGTGATATCAAGTAATAGACCCGCACTTTAGTGTACTTAAATTCGGTTTATTTCATTTCTTTATTAACACACGTCTGTCTTGCTCGCTCACTTATTTAGAACTAAACTCTCGTCTCTCTTGACACTCATCACTCGTGTCCGCTGCTAGCATCGTCGCTCTCCTTGGCAATCTCGCTGCTCTGTGCAGATTCCCACAAGATTTAAAACCCGAATTTCAAAAACTAATTCCGTTCCTAGCAGCGAATGACGGTTCAAACCGTTTTATAACACTATTACGAGTAGGAGGCCGCTTATCCCAAGTTTCCTGTTATTCTTCCAAAGAATCATTGCTTCACATTGAAGTTAGTTGAATATCTCCACCGGCAGCACATGCGCGCTGAACCGAAGGCACTCATTGGAATCCTACGTCTTCAGGCTTGGATTGTAAACGCCAGACAAATTGTTCGAAAGATTATGCGGCGCTGCACACACTGTTACCATTATAAGCCTTGTTTAATGGAACAATTAATGGGATCACTTCCAGTTGATCGCTTTCATTTACAACATAATACCGCATTCGAAGCAAGGTGCCATATAAAAAATACATGGCCGTGTTTATATGCTTTTCGTCAAAAACAATCCACATAGAACTCATTTCAGATCTGTCTACTAATAACTTTAGTCTTTGCTTAAAGCCCTTCGTCAGTCGCAGATGCATCCCACTACGCATTTATTGTGAACATGCAACTAATTTCGTCGGTGCACGATCGCAGCTCGAGGACTTTAAGCAGCAGCTGTTCGCGGGATTCGAGTTCAAGTTCATCCCTCCGCGTGCTCCCCACTTTGGCGGCTTGTGCGAGGCCGTAGTGAAGTCCATGAAGCCTAATGATGAAAAACTTGGGCAACACTGGGCTAACGTACAAGGAGCTTCAAACGATTGGAATCGAGTCGGCGGCAATCTTAAATTCCAGACCAATGGCACCCCTCTCCGAAGACCAGAACGATGGAGAGGCGCTTAGCCCAGCGCACTTGCTGATTGGGTCCTCTTTGATGTCCGTACCAGAGCTTTCAATTAACGGGAGCAGACCATCATATCTTACACGGTGGCAACGCGTAACGTACTTGAAGCAACAGTTCTGGGAGCTATGGAGACGTGACCACCGACCCTGGTCTCCTATTGGTTTTTCCAGACTTCTCGCTTCCAACGCACTTGATGGTCATCGCCATACCAGGAAATATCTGTCTCCTGCCGGGGTCCCGTTCGTGCTTATCTCTTCACAATTTTCTTACACATAACATTAATTTCATTTCCTAATTTCCTAACCTGGGTACCACAGGAACAAATACATGATACTTATATAAATGATAACAAGAATAGATAAATAAATAAATTAATAAATAAATAATATAAGAAAGAGTTATACGAGGTAGGTATATATCTGAGATGTACGCGGCGTTACTGCTATTAGAACTTGACTATTAGAACTTGCCCTCGAGTTTCTTGAAAATATCTTTGCCAGATCACGTCAAACTCCTCTCAGCTCTTAGTTCGCTTTTACTTAGTTCGCTTTTACTTAGCTTCGCGGGAGAGAGATTTCCGAATCAAATCTGTCTTGGCAAATATGCCGAAAGTAAGCAAGAAGGGAGGTTGTCAAATAATTTCAAATTTTATTTAAAATTAATTAATTAATTTTAAATAAAACTTATAATTTAGTTAAGCGCACAAATTGTAAAAGGTAGTACACTCTCAGTGTAAAGTTGTGACTCCTTACAGATAATGGTTAAAATATGAATAGTTTGTAAACAGTAAACCTCGTTAGATCCCCGACGTGCCTTCTGTGACGTTAACCGAAGCCAACTGCCCTTTCGTTCTCTTCTCCGCTCTCGATCTCTTGATCCCACGCATCATCCCAAAATGAATGAGCGATCGTCGCAATCTAATTTTCGAAGTCACAGCTCCTGTAAACCATTGCTATTGTGACAAAAGGAAAAAATAGGCCAAATGGATCGAAAAGTCTCGCAGCCACCGAGTGTATATTTCGTTTTGTCGCACGAAGATCCAGAAAAGAATCATCAAAAAGAAATTGAAGAATTGAAAGAGGTAACCAAACCACTTTAAGTGTTATAGTTACATCTGAGTCAGCCAATAATGGTAAGCCTGCGCAATCAGATACGGAGATCTCTGGGCAGCTTAAAACCCAATTTTGCCTCTTGCAAAACCTGAGAAACTTCATCACGAAGGCTTTGAAGGTTCTCAACGCTTCCAAAGCTTTGAAGCATTTGGATAATTAGATTGCATCATCCCTCCAAGCTGCATTAAACACCGGATTGCCATAAACGGCGCTGACGAATTTCCGTATTTATATTTAACTTGAAGATCTTTAGAGTCTTAGAAAGATTATCACTTGTCGGTACATCTGTTTAATGTCCGCTGCAAGTGCAAACTTGTGCATTCTGAATCGAAAGACCGTAGAATATAACTCCTCTTGAATAGTAGGGGCCTACCAACAAGATGTCATTCAACGCAACCTGCGTAAATGTTTGGCTTGAGGCATCGAATACCACTCTCAACTTGGTTGAGGTGGTTTGTAGCCCTTTGATATATATTCCCCCATAATATCCAAATACATTTTCATTAAAGAAGGCTCTTTGTCCTTCATACGAGGAACAAAGAGTATTTGGGTCAGATTTGAAAGAGAGACGAGGCGAAAATCTGCCAGATGGCAGTCTGTGAGCATTTTTCTCAAAGTGTTGTTCACAAAGTTGCTGCTCAAGAGTATGGCCTCCACAGACCAAAATTTAGCAGGGTAGTGTCGATTGACCCCAACGCTTCTTCCTGACAGATGAGAGTTAACTTCCCTTATTTTGTATTCCGAGGCAAATCTCCTTGACACTATCTAGACGAAAACAGTTTTTGTAGGATGGGAAGTTCAGACCCTATCTTTATTTGGCACACTGACAGAGTGTGAAAAAATGAATCTACGCTGATAAGAATGCCTATTTTTGGCCTGAAGAAGAATGGATATGCCAATTAAATATTTTCAGGTATCCTCCACCCGCTTGGGTTCACCGTACTCACACCCACGTACTATCTCTTTTAATTTGTAGTCTCTAAGCTTGTTCATCGGTACTTGTGAACCAGAGTCAAGCAACGCTAGAGCCAACACAAAGTGTGTTTAACTTACATTTTCCATAATTCAACTGAATTTAATGACAGTCGACCGTACTTCTCATTATTCCATCTTCACAATTTTCCAAAACGCAAGTGGAATTAAAAGTCCCAAGAAAATATATTATTATATATGTATATCACAAAACTTGGGGAAATGGAAGACAAACGCGGCCATTTTGGAAAGAAAATGCTCGCAAAAATGTCCTGAGGTTTATTTTTGAGCAACAGGTCACAAAATTATACACTATAGAAGTCATTTTTTCTGTCTTGAGTTTGAAATCTAAATTGGGGCTCACCACGACTAAAGTTATTTAGCACAATTTTTGTCAAAGTCTATAAAGCATCCAAAACGATTCACTTTTTTTTTTAATTATTTATTTGACATATATACTGTGTACATGTAAATAAACAAATATTAGAGTAAAAGGTAGATGAGATTCGTTGAAAAGTATGTAACAGATATAAGGAAGCGTTTCCGTATAAAGTATATATATTCTTGATTAGTATCAATAGCGAAGTTAATTAAGCCATGTCCGTCCGTTTGTCCGTCTGTCTGTCCGTCCGTCTGCCCGTATGAACGCTGAGATCTCAGGAATTATAAGTGATACAAAGTTGAAATTAACCATGAAGATTCTTGAGGTTCCTACGCAGCGCAAGTTTATTATTATATTATTATTATCACGCCCACTCTAACGCCCACAAATCACGAAAAACTGAAATCTCTGAAATCTCAGGAACTATTAGAGCTAGAAAGTTGAAATTCAGTAAGTATAATCTTTACAGTGTAGTATGCTCATATATCGCACATGCAAACTGTACTCAGTGTAATTCATTAATATTATTACACACACATAGTAGCAC